AAGTTACAAATGCATTACAATGAATAAAATACAGACATTTTTGCATAGTAGCCCAGCATCACCTAAACAGTTTGCTTTACTGGAATACAATAAACACATCATTAAAATAGATTTAAATTTATTTCTTCAGTGTCAATGAATTTTTAATGCAATTATCTGTTAATACCGGTATGATTCCAATATTACCGTGCATGTCTATTTCCTACCCTGCTTACATAAGTATCAGAACTAAACTAGTTAAAGACATACAGGTGCAAGGTTGGCCTTTGTGTAGGGAGCCAGAAAACTCCCCATAGGCTGCATAGGTGTTATTGAAATATCAAACTTCTGACAAGAAATGGGCTGGGGAGAGACCTTCAAAAAGCTGCTTTGAAAACTGCAAGAGCTAACTAATAAATGCCCGCTGTGCATTTCATGTAACACTTTCAACAGATTTGTTATGACCGCTTAATGCTTTCTGAACATGAATCCTCCGTCTTCAATTTTAATGCTACTACGCTGACCTTCAAACACAAACAGTCCAGCTGCATCATGTACAATTCATCTCCTCATCTCTGTGAATACACCACGACGTCACTACAGGCAAGTCTCTGTCTCTGACTGGCAGTCTGTCCCTTCACTTTGCCATTAGATTTAATGGATGGACTGGTCATTATGCAGGATGACCTGCACATCAAGGGCCTCATCACTGTCTCCTCTATGGGACGGGCTCATGGCTCAGAGTCCCCAGCATGCTGCCACAGAACAGGGTATGCCATCAGGTTCAGGTGCTTGGTTGTTTAATAGAGTCCTCCCACAGCATGCACCCCATTCTGACCTTGAGATTCGGTGTTTAAACTGCACTGGATGAAGAATGCACACCAAGCACCCCACTGTATCAATTACCGCCCTGTAATTAAGAGTGAGTGTCTGAGGGAGATAAAGAATACCATTAGAGAGGCCCAAACAGTGGGAAACACAATTCTTCTTCTAGGGATTTTGGGCTAATCCCATTTTACTGGAACTGTTCTTCACCCGCACATTCTTTGAAGTGTAAATGGGAACAGAATCTAAGAAATAAACACAGCGGTGAGCCAAAGAAACATCAAGACCTCTGCAGAAGAGGCAAAACAATGGAGTGAGGGAAAATAGGACAATGGATTCTGTACATCTGTAAATATGCAAAATAATATAGAGTATCCTAACTTTATAATGGCTGCATGAAGAATTACAAGGACCTACTATGCCATCAAATGACTACTTTGACAGTAAACTACTGGAGATCCCAAATTCTACTGGTTTTCTTTTGTTCATTTTGGTCTACAAACAATAGTTTAGAAAACAACCTGTAGAGAAAAGCAGTTGAGAAAAGCTGCAGCAGGACAAACTAGAGCTGAAGTGTCCTGAATTAGTTCTAATGAGGTTATTAGCATGTGCATTGAACCAGTTAGGGAAAGGTCTTCAAAGCCTTTTTCAATCTCCATCCAAGCATCTCAGACAGGCTGGAGAAGCCTCAGCTTAATGTAAGAGATGAGGAGATTTAGACCTACCCTGAGACACACAGTCTCATTTCACCAGCACCCTCATTTTCTCTAAATCCCTCCATCACGCCTCTATGTGACTTATTCCCACAAGCACGCCATTTCCCACAATAGATTGTACCATTTCCGCTACGCCAACAGAGTAAATAATGCAATTATCTTTGTAAATATTCTTATTTCCGCAAGCCGAGGCAACACGCATACCAGGCAGGCGGAGACACTGCTTGAATAAGCGATCAAAATGTTTTGACTTCTTGTCTTTACAGCCTTTTGCAGCCTTTGCCCGTTATGATACTGCCTGCTTTTCCTCTTTTTTTTTTCACTCCCTTCTCCTCCTCCACAAAAAGACCTGAGCTGTGCTGTTGGCACTGCAGCTTGAAAAATAAATGTGACAAAATAAATAATGAATCGACAATACCAAAAAGACTGTTGCGGGAGTCAGATTGTCTCACTTCAGTGGAAACTGAACTGCGAGTTATCTTTCTGACACAAATACACATGCTTTCCATGATCCCTGGCTCCAAAACAATGTCTAGCCACTTGAGGCTTGTCTACATTTAATTTTAACTTTAGTACCTGCTTGAGACTTCAGACTGCCTGTCAGCAGCGGCACAGCTGGGCGCACAAAGCACACGGCAGGCATTGCCACTAGTGGGGATAGGCGATGCTGTACTTTGGCTGCAGGACTATCTTTGTAAGAAGCAAGCAGGTCCCACAGAGCCTGTCCTCGGAAAAGCTGCATCTGCTTCACTGGGACGGCTTCCTTTGCCAGGCCGGAATGCCCTTGAAGCTACTCCTACTGTGTTTCCTTCATTCAACCCCGATGCTTGTTAGAAAGGCGCTTGTTTCTCATTAAGAAGTCATGAGGTTCTAGAAAGCCTCCATCTTTAATGAGATGACTAACACATTAGGCAAGACTTAAGTGCTAAACCCATTGAAGTTCCTACTTTGGAAAAAGCAATGCGCTGAATTTTAGCTGATCTGAATATATTTAAATATATACATAATTTCCATTTGAATAAATAATTGTTAACTGAAAAATGCTGTTTGCATAGGTATTCAACCCCTGTGCTGTGGAAGCTCCAAGTTTGCACAGATGAAAGATATTACCCTATCGAGGGCCTCTACTCATTAAAAAAGTTCACCTTTTCTGGATAAAAAGATCCCCTTAATTCAAGTGCCATTAGTCAGATTGTGAATCTGATGAAAACCTGAGAAAATGAAGACCATTCTCAGCAAATCAAAGATAAAATTATAAACATGCACAATATTGGCTACAAAAATAATATCCAAGTGTTTGAATATCCCAGTGAGGACTGTTGGACCATTTGTGAGAAAACGGATGTGGTGTTATATCACCCAGGCACTGCCTGGACAAAGCTGTCCCTCAAAACTCAGCATCAGAGTAAGAAGAAGACTTGTGAGGGAAGCCACAGAGAGGCAAACATTCACTTAAAAGGAGCTACAGAGTTCAGTGGCTGAGTCTGGAGTGAAGGTGCACCAATCAACAATATTAAGAGCTCTGTATACAACAGGCCTGTATGGGAGGTTGGCCGGAAAGAAACCATTACTGAAGAAAAAAAAACACATCAAAGCATGTCTGGAATTCGCCAGAAAGCATCAGGGTGACAGCTAAAAAATTTTTTAGTGGTCAGTTGAGATAAAAATTGAGCGTTTAGGCCAAAAATCTAACCGCTATGTGTGTCGCAAACAACAAAAACCATGCCAATTGTGAAGTATGAGGGTGGCAGCGTCATGTTGTGGGGATGCTTTACCTCAGCAGGGACTGAGCATCTTGTTAGAATTCAAGGACAGATGGATGGTGCAACATACAAAGAGATACTGCAAGACAACCCACTTCAGTCAGCTAAAAAAAAAACTAGTTTTGGTGAAATGTCACTTTTCAGTATAACAATGATCCCAAGCACAGGAGTGGTTGAACAACAAAAAGGTGAATGTTCTATAATGACCAAGTCAAAAACCAAATCCTAATCCAATTTAGAAACTGTGGCACTGTTTGAAAATTGCAGTCTACATGCATCATTAGCCTGAACAACCTGGAGCAAATCTGCCAGGAACAATGGGTGAAAATCACTCCTTTCCTTTTTCATATTTGATTTTTGCCATTATTCTATCTTGGTGTTCTCTTTGAAAATGCAATTTCAAAAACATTATTAACACTCATTGCTGAACTGTGCATGCCTGAGCATTGTAGTGAATCTTACAAAAGCAACAAAAGTTGTTCCTGTAACAGGTGCAGTAACACAGCAGTGAATATTGTGTGTTTGAGCTCAGGCTGTGTCTCACTTCAGTTGGAAATTCTCATCTTGCATTTTAAGCAGTTTTATTTAGCAATTTTTCATGCTTTCAGGTGAAGACAAAGTCATTAAGCACTAGTACAAGATTTCTCAGTGCACCAGAATGTAAACTGGATTAGGATTTGATATGTCAATCTCTGTTTTAAGAATTATCATGTCAATGTACCATTAGCTAGCTCAGAAGGTTATGCTAGTGCTATTAACATGCTCAGTTAGAGAATAAGTTGTTTTGGCTCATATGTAAATTTTGCTTGACTCAACACAATATATAACAACTTGTGCGAGCATGTGTTCATGTAGTGTTCATCATTTTTTATTATACTGTTAGTTTTACTATATATACTATACTATAGAGTTTTATTATACTATTAACAGTCTTAGGGTCTGGTATTGTGTGAATTTAGAACAGAACTGGATAAATCTGTCTTCATTGTTCATGAAACAGCAGTTGATATAGCATCTCACAAATATTAAACACAAATTATCAAGCAAACATACCAGGCAGATTTATCTGGCCTTCTCTGCCAATACAGGATGCAGACATCACGGTGGATAACTTGCTTTTTCAAGCAGGAACACTATTGCCAAATAAAAATCTCTTAATATTTGCAGATCAAATGCATAGTAGCATGATTTACTTAAAATATCTACTAAATATCCTACCTATTTGAATTCCTCATCGTATTAGTAATGTTAAAACGTAGACACATCAGGCAGGTGGACCACCCCACACAGAATGCAAGGGGTTTTTACATTTTGCACTGAAGACACTTGCATGACAAATACTATGCAGCCGACAGCAAAACTAGGCTTGCCTAGTCTTTTTGTTTTTAACTTGCTTGACTTCTTAAATTAGAAAATTTGGACCCACCCTAGTGGAAATGACATACATATGAATCAAGTAAATTCAGCAAATTACTATTTCAGTGTAGGACCTTGTAGCACTTCTCTGCCTACTATGTTAATGATCTCTGGTTAAATTTAATGAACTTTGTTGCTTAAAATAACAGCATCGCCTATCCCCACTAGTGGCAATGTCTGCCGTGTGCTTTGTGCGCCCAGCCGTGCCGCTGCGGACAGGCAGTCTGAAGTCTCAAGCAGGTACTAAAGTTAAAATTAGTTAGAAATTGTTCAATAGTGTGGAGGTAAATAGATTTTTGACCTTTTTAGTGCCTGGATCTTCTCTGCAGTGATGTTCTGCATGATCCTTTCCAGCAGGTCTGTGTTTTTGCTAGGTTTGGCTGGCTGCTTCTTTGTGCTGTGGAAGTACAGGCCAATGAGCAGTCCCAGGAAGAACACTCCAGCACCAGTTAGCAGGTATTTGGCCATGCAGGTCCTGCTCCTCTTCTGCCCCTTGGGCACGTTCCTGCTGATAGGGGAGCTGTAGTTTGGGTCCTCCTGCAGACGTTCAAACCGGCCATGGGGGGACACAGAGGGCTGGATGGGCTCCAGGTCAGGATCCATGGCCCCGCCGGAAGAGTTGTCTATGGCCTGGCGCTCCACACACTTCAGCTGGAAGTGGTCTAGGCCGGGCTCCTCCAGCTCTTTTTCCATCTCCCACTCCAGATCCAGAGGGGCCGCCTGAAGCTCCTCGCTCTCCAGATCCCGTGAGCCCACGGAGCTGCCGCGGCTGGCGCACACTTTCCGGTATGCCATGCGCTTAGCTGCACACAGAAATTTACACACAGATGGAGAATTAGACACAGAGATTCATAATGTGATTAAAACAGGATATGAAAGAAACACACCATAAAACAACAAATAAACAAAGATTCAGTTTGGCATCATGGTAGTATAATCAAAATTATTCATAACAGTCATAATAATCATCATAGCAGTCAGAAATGAAGTCTATGCCAGTTAATCAAAATGCCTATTTAAATATTCATCAGAAAGTCTGCATGGTAAAACATGAAAGTAGGCCTGCTGGCTTTGGAAAAGTAGGTGATCTGCAGATGTGAGAACTCATAAACAAAAGCAAATAAAAATAATAGTCATTTAAAAGAGCATTTACCATCACTTGGTAAACTTCTCTAAAGTCTTTAGTTGTCCTGGATGGTCAGTATGTTCTTCACTATTCTAACTATGCGGAGTATTCTCAGGAGAGGCAGTGAGGGCGAACTGGTTCATTGCTGCTGCTAAAAAAGATCATTAAGGGTGATGACTCGGTGGGATCAAATTCATAAAAAAAGGAGTCCGGTGTCAAAGTATACCATCAATTTTAACTAGGCTTTTTAAGGGGACGGCCATCAAACTCAAAACAGCCCAATCGATAATAGCAAAACTCCAAACTGCCCAGAAATTTGACAATGAAAAAGGCCATTACTCATTCAAATCCAGCTTTAGACAAGACTTGCTTTTGAACACTGAAACAAAAAGGAATTTTGCTCCTTCAAAAGCTCACACTGTCAATGAAAGTGAGAAAAGCCCGAGAAACCTTTTCTTCCCTAACAGCAACACTTACAATAAAACATTCATTTGAGGCCAGGAAAAAAATATCCCCTGATAAAATGAAATGACTTTGTGAGTCTAAAACATTACTATTCCACACACACATTCTAAAAAGCAGCAAGTACCAGCATTTTACATTACATTTCACGCATTTCACTTCAAACATATTTTCTATCTGTATCTCTCTTTTTTCATTTAAACCATTGCAGTCAGACCCGCATTTCCTTATGGCTGTTTTACGATTTTTTTTTTTTTCTCGACATTTGAATGGAAGGTGCTAAACACTAAAGGGAAATAGAGATGGCGCCGGTGCACTTCTCTGCATCAATCTTGTATGGCCCACAAAACTTCTTCAATTTTAGGCTGGAATACAGCGGAGAGGCCCTAATTCACATGCTGACCCCCACAATAATATGGATTGTGAAACGTTCAAGGCATTACTGACCCTCCCCTCCCTTCTTGGCTCTCCCCTCTACTCTCATCACTTGCTCAGGTAGTGATGAGACCCAGCTCTCTCCATCGCAGAATGACAGCTGACATTCAATCACCAGAAACGTCAGCAATTTAACGCCTTTCAGCTCCCCAACAGAGCCATCAATTAAAGGCCAATGGAATATACCATCTTTGACTTTTCCCCCTGACATTGATTTGACAGTGACACCAGAAGTGGAATGCCGCTGGAATGCACACGTGTTCAGTCAGCTAGGGCTGAATCTGAATATCAATTGTTCAGTTCACTCAAAGGACAGATTTCTAGTAGTAATTAATTTACGCAGCACTTTTCAACCGAGATGTTGCTAGAGATGGAACAGTACATCACAATATAAAGATGTGACAGTTCACATCATGGAGATCAGTTGATCAGCTGTTATCAGTTGCAATTTATTAATTATGATGAAAAAAAATCTAATGCACTTGTATTATTTGACAAAATTAACAAACACCCGTACATTAAATGCTGTATGATTAATTAATCACTTTCTATTCCGATACTAATACTGATATAACGTTGATACAGATTCTTGAACAATAACATCAAATTACAAACCTAAAGTGAGTGTCATGGCTACAATATATTGTGGCATCGGTAGAGAAAAAAAAGACGTGGGACACTTACGCTTCAAACAAGTGGCCTTTTATTAACACAGCAGCAAAGGAAATTCGCCGGCCAGTGCTATCTTAATGGCTGGGAGACAGAGTAGGTGACGCCCAACATCTCTCGTACATGGTAGACACCACACCAACCAGCCCCACAGCCCAGCACATTAACACACACGCAACACATACACATCCCCAAAACCCACAATAGCAACTATTTACATGTTTTTAAGTCTCTCACCGCTGCTATGGCAGTACCTGCAGTGCAAAGTCCTTCCATTATAAGAAATATTAAAACTGACATTTAGCACAATTTACATAGTGTGGTAACATAAACTGTGACAAAGTGCACTTGTTTGTGTAACACAGTAAAAACGTGTTTACCAGATTAGTCATCTGGAGCAGTTCTCTAACTAAACATGAAGTCACAAAGTTTTGTTGTTTGTGAAATGTCCTGCCCCCTAGCCCAAATGAAGTTTTTGATGGGTTCTACCCCTGAGTTTGACTCTCTGTCTGTTCATCCCCAGAGTTGGGTATTCCAAATATGTATTCAGAATACAAAAAATTAAGTATCTATATTCACTCCAAGTTACAATTTGTAATGGCAGTATTCAGAATACAGTGACTTTTTACATTTTAGGAGAATACTTTTAGAATACTTACCCATAAATTAGAAAAAAACCTATATTTCAAAGAACACCATGACTGCTTGTTCTCTTAACTCTTAAGAAATGGCTTTTTTACAAACATTTAAAGTCTGAGTAGACCGATAAATCACTGTGACTAGCTAGGTATTCTGAGGGATGACTGAACATAACAGTCTCCTCAGTAGTGCATATGTTCATGAGTGATAAGCTTAGCTTTGCGTTGTACTGGACTTGTGCATGCACTCTGTGGCAAGTTCTGCAGTGGAGTGAAGCAAGCCACAATAATGTTGAAAATTTTGTATTCATTTGTATAATTGATTTTTTTTTCATTCATGGAAAATTTTGATACTTGGTAGCATTAAATTAATTTAGTTGGTACTATAAAAGTATTACATTTCAATACCCAGTCCTACATATGACACACTCCCCACCTAACTCTCAACAGCACATTCAATGTCATATGTTACAACTCTAGTCTCATTAAAAGGTTAAGCAGCAATTTGTACATTAAATCATTTTTTAAATATCCTGAAAATATCAAACTATGAACCCAGTATGGCAAAACGTATTGAATCCTAAGCAAAGTGTCACACTCCTAGATGTTGGTTATGTTAACTTTAGAAATCATCACCTGATTGACTTATAAGTAAAAACACTATACCCAGATGCTTTGTTCAGACAGCAAATACTCCATGTTTTGTGTATCTTCATGCCCTAATCAATATTTATGAAATGGAATGTAGCTGAAATTGGTAGAGACAGGCAGAGTAGCCTGTGTCACTCTCAGCAGCGGAAGGCTGGGGTATTGCTTGCGGCAGGCGAGACAATGTGCCATGAGTAGCAAGACTAACGACATCTATCAGGAAATAACTCTAAGCCTGACCCCCACAGGTGTCAGACATCACCGGACGACTCCTCTCTACACTACAGCTCAATACGCTGCATCTCCTGAATGACTGTCACCATAACAAAGGGCATCTCCTAGAGTCAGTGGACACCTCAATAAAAAAATACCACATACATTAGAAAAAATACTGTAGACGGTTTTCCAAGAGACTGAACTATAAAACTGAGGCCAACCAATATGAAAATTGTCAACAATACAGATGGATTCTGGTAACCAATAATAGTAATAATAGTAAGCAGTAGTAATAAAAACTCAGAATTAACTTAAACTGAATGTAAATATTGTAGCGCTGGAAGGTGGAGCTTCCCAGCAAGTTTTTTTTGTGTTAATGATGTTTTTTCCTTTTTTTCATAATTTCTCTTCCTGTACATTTTCTATTTTTTTTGTTTGAACAAGTTATGTAATGCTAACGTTGAGCAATGGATGCATATTAGGGTAACTTGAGAGAATTTGCTGCCTGGTCTTATTTTCGTTCCTAATCAAATGATGGCCCAAACTTAATCTTAACACATTTATAATGATCGAATTATTCTGAAATTTCAGTTGGATCACTGCATTCTTGGCATTTACTCCCCAAGAAAAAAGATGCGCTCAGTTGATCTAATTTTTTTTACTTAATATAATAGTGGTAATAGTGATCTATGCATTTATATTAAGCTGTACATGAAAAGTTATATTACTGGTGGTCTCAAGATCTCAACACTTTTTTTAACGTAAAGTTACACCATTGGGACAAGAACTCACTGCAGACAAGGGGCAAAAGACCCCTTTAGCATATTTACCGAAATATATTATGTAGTTAAATGTTTTTCACAAAAACACAAAGCTGTTCACTGGAGTTCCACTGGCTAGCTAGCACTAGCACTACATGCTAACTACAGTTAAATAGAATTAGATAGATAGAATATAAATATACAAACAAGCAAAACTGAAGCAATACTAGTGCTTCACTGGCAGGATTTAAATATATGGAACCTTGAAATATATGGAAGGCAGTTTTATCACTCAAGTGATATCAGTCAGGATCTAAAATCTCTACCCATTTGAACGACACATACAACAAAACAAATTGAAAGCACAATCAGCATATGTGCTCTCAACATTTTTCATCACCACTGTCTATCAATACATCCAATATTTCCAGAGTTCTAATGTGTGCAGTTAAAAAGAGACTGATACAATGTTGAGCTCAACATGAACATAAATACAACCCCAATTCTAAAATCGTTGGGACAGTATATGAAATTCTAATAAAAACAGAAAACAGTGATTAGTAAATTCAGTTTGACCTATATTAAATTGAAAACAGTACAAAACACAATACTTTATTTTTTACCTGGTGAACTTAATTGTTTTGTTTTTTTTTGTAAATATATGCTCATTCCAAATTTGATCCAATATTTTCATAAATAATCTGAAAAGTTGACTTCTTAGATGACAGCTCAGCTCATGTGTCCACTGTGCATCTGTTCTTTCAGATAAGCTCAAACCCAGAGAAGTCGGCAGCGTTTCTGGATGCTGTTGACATATGACTTTCACTGTGCATAGTACAATCTTCACT